TTAATAGTGGTGATGAGTGATGATGAGGGATTGCGTTTAAGTAATGTTAGCGTTAGTCCTATCTTCCTCTGCTCCAATGAGTCTCGAGGCCTCAAGATAGAGTTATGAATAGGTGTACTGTAAAGAAAGTTTTGCTCTAAGTGCTGTGATATAACTTGCGATTTGGGTGGTTAGCGGGTGCTCTTATGTGGTTTACTCCTTCTTTCCTATAAAAAAATATGTTTTTTGTGTTTGTTACTCTCTTGTAACACCTCTAATTTTCGGCACTTATATGACCTTATTGAGTTCAAGTGTTGTAAAACTTTGCTAAAACTAAACTAAACAAGATAGAATTTATATAATAGGCTAAGTGTACTGTAAATAAAGTTTTGTTCTTACTGCTGTGATATAACTTGCGATGTTTCAATTTATGGACATATTGGGGTTTTTTTCTTCCTCAGTGCATCACATCCCTTATCATGCTGAGCTCAAGCGACATTTATGCTCTCATCAACTACGCAAGTTTTGTCGAGACTCTATTTATAGGCATGTCCGTCAGTGGACTGCTTATTCTACGAATCACAAAACCGAACTTAGAGAGACCTATCAAAGTAATTGCCTCTATTGTTTATGTGAAGTCATAAGAGTGGTTGGTTGGCGGGTGCTCTTGTGTGGTTTGCTCCTTCTTTCTTATAAAAATTCTATCGTCTCTATCTCCCCTCCCTCTTTTTTTTTGTGTTTGTTACTTTCTTGTATCACCTCTTATCTTCGGCACTTACATGACCTTGTTGTGTTGCAAGTGCCGTAAAACTCTTACTAGAAATTAGAAGCCTTAATTTGTGTGCTACATTGTGTTACAGGATAGTAGAAGGTGTATATATATATTTTAACCTGGGTCATATTGTCATACAGACACTCAAAGTTTGACTGCCACTGATTGCCTGTGAGAACAGTGTCCCTTATAGTTTCTTCGTTGCGGTGGCTGGCATATGTCTTTTGGTTTCCTGCACTGAATTCATAGTGAAGTACACTTTGGGTGATTCAAGTCAAGCGGGCGTTAAACAGTGTTTGAGGTACCTAGGCAATACATGAGAGAATTATGCCATGACTTGCTTGCTCAGCAGATTTATAGGAGATAGGAGCTGTTACATATCTGTGTATAAGTGTCCTAATACGTATAATATATTAACACTTTGAACCCATCGGACAGTGGGAGGGTCTGGCGGTAATAATCCTGTTCCCTTCGGATGCTGAGAGTGTCCAGTAGGCCTACTAGTAACAACTGTTTTGTTTTATTTAGTCCTAGTTTTTGTTTGATTTTCGGAACTATTCCCAAACAAAGTTTTTCTTTTAGTAATGACTAAGCCTTTGTTTCCGCTATTTAGAAGTTAGAGGCAAGCTTTTGGGGTTATAATGAGACACAGTGCACCAGGTTTGGGTAACTGTAGAAAAACACTCTGGGAAACGGTGGAAAAACTCAGGGCTTAAAGAGATATATCTTCTCTGTTAGAGTGATGCCTCCGGTGGGTCCTACATCTGCCATTACCTGTGTTGTTTCTTTCTGTCTTGCTACATTGTCTTTTCCCCGCTCTACAATACTATTGTTGTGTCTATGTTCTTCTCTTTGCTCAAACAAAAAGTGGGTGGTTGGCGGGTGCTCTGGTGTGGTTTGCTCCTTCTTTCCTATCAAACAACTATCATTTTTATCTCTCCTTCCTCTTTTTATGTTTGTTACTCTCTTGTAACACCTCTAATCTTCTGGCGCTCATATGACCTTATTTTGTTGCAAGTGCCGTAAAACTCTTACTAAAACTAAAACTTAAGCAAACAAAGAAT